TCTGGCTCTCGTTCCACAACCGTCAACCGACTCGCACGACGCCGCCCACGAACCCGCCGACGTTTTCGCCACTGGCTAACCGAATCTGTTAACTCACGTCCGACTTGAAATAAATATACCGTCTACTCGAAAACCAACCCGAGCGTATTTATTTCAAAAACTCCTTTCGTATGTTGGCCGCGTAAGTTATGTGAACATCACTTCGAACCTACGCGCGCCACATTGGTGACCTCGCAAAAACGAACGCGCACGCGGAACACGTGCTCCAACGACGCACAAGTTACTTGTGCCGAACACGCGCCAAGCTCCCACGAGCAAGACACTTCGCTCGACCTTGCGCATCCTCGTCCCGCGATACGCGCCATGACGAGCAAGCTTAACGACGAGCACGATACACCGGCGCCCAAACCGGCGAGCTGGTGGCAGCGCCTCAACCCGGTCGCTTTCGCGCCAGCATCGCGGGAACCCGCACTCGATTTAAGCGAACAGGTCCAGCGACTAAACCTTCAAGTCGCACACCTCACAATCAAGGTCGAGCGACTAAAAAAATTGATGGTGCCCATCGCCGCGGTCGCACCGTCACCGCCGGCCACGAAGAAGAACACCACGTGCTATTACCACAAGCTTTACGGCGCGAAGGCAAAGAGCTGTCGACCGCCTTGCGACATGCACACGTCGGCAAGTAATATCAAGCCATAAGCTTCGGCCTTACGCCACTTTCTTTTTATTCTTTTTTCAACTCCACCACCTTCATTCAAAATTCAAATCACACTTCTAAATTCAGCATCAATCGACTCGGCTACACCTCAAAAATCTGCATCACTTCTTCTTTCGGCCACACATCCAAATTTCTCCCCAAGCATCTCGAAACTCAAAACAATTCAATTCAATCAACAACAACCGTCAACCACTCAAAATTTTCGTCTCAAGATACACTCGCCCGCCGTCTTTCCGTTTGAGCAGAAAGCATGTACGTCTCCACACCCCGCAGGATCGCTGCATCGAGACGCACGCGTGAGTACGATCGCCGTTAAACGGCTGGCGAGCCGCCGTCCTTCCGTTTGAGCAGAAAGCGCGCACGTCTCCACACCCCGCAGGATCGCTGCATTGAGACGCGCACGTGAGTACGATCGCAGTTGGACGGTTGGCGAACCGTCATCTTCGAGACCGCCGTCGCGGGGAACCGCATTTCGCGCAGCACCGCGCCTCCTCCGAAACGCCCACCACCCGCCTGCGCCGAACGCACGCGCGCCGTTGCTACCGATGGCACAGCCGTCAGCACCAGCCCACGTAGCGCGTGTAAGTACTGGCACGGGTACACGGCGGCTAAGAGTTCGCGCTCATCGCGCGATCGGTTTCTCGCCTCATCAAAATTCAGCTTCACCATCAACTCATCATTCAACTTTCCGGCAGTCTACATTCCATTCCACTTGCATTTTCCGGCTTCACCTGCACTTTCAACTTCCGTCAACATTTCAACCACCGTCAACTTTCCATCTTCGTCAACAGCTCAACTTTATTTTTCATCGGCTCTCTTACATTGTTAAACCAAAAAAAATCTGTAAATATTTTTCTTTTTTTTAAAGGGGGGAGTAATGTGGCGAACCAGTGCTTTCACCACATACTCCCTCCCTATGTCGGTCGCGCTCCCTTGGTTGGCAACACCGCTAGGCCCTCCGCGTCGTTCGCGACCGCGAAGTGTCGGGCGGCTGCCAACACTCTCTGGCTCTCGTTCCACAACCGTCAACCGACTCGCACGACGCCGCCCACGAACCCGCCGACGTTTTCGCCACTGGCTAACCGAATCTGTTAACTGACGTCCGACTTGAAATAAATATACCGTCTACTCGAAAACCAACCCGAGCGTGTTTATTTCAAAAACTCCTTTCGTATGTTGGCCGCGTAAGTTACGTGAACATCACTTCGAACCTACGCGCGCCACAATACTTAGAATCTTTAAAAAATTCAGTAAAGAAACCAGAAATAAATTTTACATCAAAACTTCGTCAGAATCAGATTATAAATTCTATATCTACATCTATAAAAGAAAGAATCAAAGAAGAATTAAAAGATGCCAAATTTTTTAGTGTATCTATGGATTCTACTTTTGACTTATCTCGAAAAGAGCAAATTTCTTTTATTGTTCGATATGTCACAGGGTATGGAAATGTAAGTGAACGTCTTTTGGCACTCCACGACTCACCCATAACTACTGGTGAACAAATGTTTAAGATATTTGAATTAATTTGTAAAGAATTAAACTTAGATTGGATAAATTATTTAGTTGGCCAATCATATGACGGTGCTCAAAACATGAGAGGCCAATATAATGGACTGCAAACATTAATTAAAGAAAAATGTCCCACAGCAATTTTTGTTTGGTGCTGTGCCCATAGGCTAAACCTAATAGTTTCAAAATTAGTAAGTTGTAGTTTAGATCCAGTTGACCTTTTTGGAAATTTAGAGACATTGTATAATTTCATTTGCGGTAGCAAAAAAAAGTTACCTATTATGAAGCCATGCAAAAAAATTGTTCTTCGAATAAACAAGGTCGTCGATTAAAAAGAGTATCCACAACACGATGGATGTCTCACAATTATGCACTAGAAGCAGTTTTGGAAACATTTGAACCTATTATTGTCACTTTGCAACACATCAGAGACACCGAAGGGCGTGATGATCATACTGTAGGACATATGGCAGGGTGTTTAATGGACTACTTACTTTCAAAGCGATTTGTTATGTCTGCTATTTTTTTTCAAAAATTATTTAATATTTTAGCTCCACTTAATACATTACTTCAAAGTATAGATTTAGATCTATTAGCTGCTGTTAATGGAATCGATGAAGCACAAAAAAAGTTAACTCAAATAAGACAAAATGATAAAATATATGATAACTTAATTCATGAGGTTAATCATTTTATCAAAGAAAATAATCAGTTCATTTTTTCTGAACTTAAAATCAATCGAATCCGAAAAAAAAGAAAATGTCTGGAGAGATGTCTAATGATGAACCAATTACAGATCCAGTTAATAAATTCAAATGTGACACATACTTTAAATGCTTGGATGTAACAATTACTTTTATTAATATATATTTCAATGCTCAGGCAATTGGTATATATAAAGATTTGGCACTTTTTTCAAAAAAAAGAATATTTGAAATAAAAAATAATCCATCAGCACTTCCTAAAGATGCTTTTCAAGAATTTTGTGCCGTGTATGGAAAACTTGTACAAAAAGATTTACTATGCAAAGAATATACTAATTTTTGTCAAATTTTTCATTTATTTAAAACCTCTACATTCCTACCTAATGAACTACATCCTAGTAATGAACCTTTGGAAACTGAGTCAGATGAAGACGAAGATGAAGATTTGTCACAGAGAAAACCGATTAGCACATCTAATGTAAATAGTATAAAATCTGTGTTTAAAATTTTCATGAATGGACAATTAGCTAGCATTTTCCCCATTTTAAATACAAGTCTTTTAATCGCGTTAACTTTACCTGTGTCCAGTGCATCGACAGAAAGGTCGTTTTCAAAGTTAAAGATTTTAAAATCTAAACTGTGAACAACTATGTCACAAACACGTTTGGAAGACTTATTGATAATTAGTTGTGAACGAGACATTGAACCAAACATAGAAAATGTAATACAACATTTTAAAGAACAATCGATAATCCTAACAAAGCATTTATAAATTATAAGTTTTTTTTTTGTTTTTAATAATAGTCAAAAAGTTGTTTCTTATTGTTATAAATTTAAGTTGACAATATCAATTTACTTAAATAAAAGATATAATATAATTATGTAATGTTTATTTAAAAAAATGTACCTACTATTTTATCTGTAGCTAGGTAGCTAAAATCTATATACCTAGACGGCTAGAAACCTAGTATACCTATTAGTTTATAATACACTTAGAGTTCAAGAATATAGAGCATTGATACTCAACCTTTTTAAAGACACAAATCAAAATTAAAAATTGTATTTTTTCGTGAAACATAAAATAATGTTAAATACATGTATAGGATATTAGGATATTTTATGTATTGTTGACCCTAAAGAATATGCTAACAACTAACAAACTGGTTACGACACATCAGTTGAGGGTAACTAGTGTAGTGAATAATAAAATGTATTCACATTCACACATACTTAGTACTTAATAGTTATAGTACATGGTACTACATGTACTCCGCACACATTAAGATCATGACCATGACATGTGAAAAAACCTGGTTAGAACGCGAACTGGTCATGATTTTAAAGTGGCAGTGGGGAGTGTAATATATGTGAGGTGAATATATTTTATAACCTAACATTTTTGTTATTACCAGTTGTAAAAAAATTAAAAACCCCCATTAAAATAAACTTTAAATGTTGATAGGTTAGAAAGTTTTTTTATGAAATGAGTAATTTTTGGGTTACCCAAAATAGGGGGGGGGGGTACTAGCTCCTTTTAAGTGAGCACCTGTTATATTTTTCGAGATAGCCGCCACTGCCTTAGTATTTAGTCCGATGATAAGTCAATTTACTGTAGAACTAACAGCACACTATCGATACCTACATACAACTGGTAAACGGAAATTAACTATGCCGTACGCAGGGACGGTTCTTGAGAAGCCACAAGGGGGGGGGGGCAGCGAATATATTTTGCATATACCTACATTATACTTACAATTTGCATTCATATCAAATTTTTTTTTTCTATTGTTTGGTACATGAGATGTAATTATAAATTATATAAATTATAAACTTTATACTACAACGGCATAACATAGATATAGGTATCAATAAAAAAATTAAAACAAAAATTATTTTTTATTCAAACTTAATTAACAGTCAAACTTCAAACATATTATACATATTAAATAAACTTATTACTAATATTAATATATTATTTATATTTTATATAAAGGTAATAATTATAAATTATGACTTACAGAACATCAAACATATTACAAAATAAAGTTTCTTTTGCGGTTCTTTTGCTAGGCAAATCTTTCAATAATAGCATCTGTGTTTACTTTTATATCTCTATGAACATGCAGAAGCACCAAACCACTAAGTCTATTATTTCCCATTCTAGATCTTAACCATGTTTTAACTCTAAGGAAATAAGCAAAGCAATAAGCAATAAGCAAAAAGCAATATATTTATATATTTGAATGAGTAAAATATGCAATGAAGATTTAATGACTAATTTATAATAAATTGTTTACCATTATTAATACAAATAAATTTATAATTATGTTTAATAAAGTTCAAAACATAATCCCTTAGAAGTATTTAATGAATTTAATTATTTTAAATTCTTAATTACTTAAAATATTATAGGTACCTTTTTAGAGTCGAAAAGCTACGTTCAGCTGATGCTACACTGATGGGCAATGTACATATAATTGCAAAAATTGTTTGAATAGTAGGAAATACTGTTTTATCACATTCAGATAGAGATTCCAAAACATTTTTATGTATATCTTTACCTGAAAGCAAAATCAAAATAGGTTTTCACAAAATATTTTTCAGTTAATAGTAATAATATAGCCAACAAATAGAAAAAATATGAAATATCTAGTACCTTCTAATTTGTGCCTGCACCACATTGAATACCAAATGTTAAGTTCGGATTGAATGGTATCCATCGGTAAATGTTTAAATAAGGTTTGCTCATTGATGATTGCAGACATGTTTTCTATTGCGGCCTTAAGTGCTTTGTCATCTTTTACTTGTACTATATTACTTGGTACCAATTGCATTAATGCTAAGAGATTTTTATTTTATTTATTGATAAAACGGTCATTTAAGTCTTCTAAAATACTGTCTAGTAGTGGAATGTATAAATTAATACGGTAGTAATCTTCTGGTTTATCTATATTTGTTATGTTGTTTCTATATTTCTGGCGTCCATAAAGTCTTGGTAGCTTTACTTCAACATTAAGAGTTTTTAATATATTTTCACTTTCTCTAAATATTGAATTAAATTCTTCATCACAGTTACTTCTATATTTTTTAAGAGTAGATATTATGTCCTTGATATATTTAGATGCAGTGAAAATATCTTCATCTTTTCCTTGGAGTAATTTGCTGATATTCTTTTATGCTTACATACTCAGTTCCTACAATACAAACTATTGGTTGCAAGGTTTGCTTTAAACTGTAGCAGTTTTCAATTTCCTTTTGAATTTGATTGTATAAATCATTAATAGTGTGGGTATTTAACAAGAATGATTTTTGAGCATCGACTATTGAAGTTTTGGCAAGACGACGTCTTCCTGTTATCTTGTCGATTTGATAAGACTTTGAAGTTGGAACAAGAAGGGCATTTAGAAGAACTAATATTAGAACATTTTTAGAATCTGAAACATATCATTTAACTATTTCAATAATATTTAAGTAGGTATAAGAAATGAATTAATAATTAATAAAATCAAATAATAAAATTCATAATTTTTCAATTTTTTTTCAAATATATGTTTAGTTACCTAAGTCAACATAATTTTCAGACAACAACTGTACTAATTGTTTACTGTAGCTATCTTTAATATTGTTCTTCATCAAAGGTTCTATTTTCTACAAAAAGTCTGTCCATTCGTCAAAAAGAATATTACATTTTCCAGGATATATATATTCAAAGTCAATATCAATCTGGAAATAGTTATGCTTATTTATTGTTATGCCACACTAGTTAATAGGAATAAAATAATATTAGTGATTAGTGTATTACCAATTGATGTCCAAACGATTGTTTGTATAAAGGCCACTGTTCTAAAATATCCGTTATAGTAATTTCAGTTGAACTTAAGAATGTTCTACGATATTCTACAGTTTCTTGCCATTTTTCAGAAACTTCATTAAAGGGTTCGACATTTAAATGCAGCCAATTTTTTATTTTTAACAAAGCTGGTTCTGTTTGAAAAAAAAGGTTCAACTCAATGATACAAATTGTAGTATACTATTCTTATAAGACGTTTAAATAATGTTGATTGAAATGAGCTCTAACTTTTCATCTCCACAACAAGCATTTGAAGCATTATGCTTATAGGGGAGTTTTAATCTATTTATATTTTATTCTAATTAGTATTAAGTTTTATAATATGTATAGGTATTGATATTTTTGCATGAAATACAAATATAATACCTATTATTATTATTATTATTTTTATACATGACTGGAAGTATTGAGATTTTTGCTTAGCAACCTAAAGACATTTGTTTAAATAATTTATATAGATACTTAACAATTTCCTCTGGTAGTGCAGACAATAGAGCAGTTTTATCATTATGTGCAGTTGATGTTAACCGTGATGACGATGCAGTAGAATGATCCCAAAGATTATGTTTGCGTAATTTTGAGACGGTATTGTGGTATTTTTGGTATAAAATATCTTTGGGTTTTTGTTTTGAAATACTAATAAAATATATTTCCTAAATAAAAATCATATAATAAGTAATTAGTTAAATTGTACATTGACAAATATAGATATTTTTTCTTGAACATGATCTCATGGAAAAGTAATAATAATATATATAATATCATCCATATTATGATAATATATATAGGGTATTAAGAGAAGTTTTCACACCTTTACTTCACTCTTCAAAAAATTAACAATATTTTCTGCTATATTTTCAATACATTTTGGTGAGGCATGAAGTTTATACTGAATTAAATATTCAGTTACAATATTTGCTATACTTTTCCTACATTCACTGGACAACTTATTGTTCTTCCTATAGTACTCTAAAATAATGAATCCTTTTCCTGATTTTTTTTTAAATTTCTTCAATATTAAACTAAAGTAAAGACAGACAAACATATTTATCAATCAAGTGTACAAGACCTGTTTATATTATAACTAAAATATGTAAATAGGCAATGGCAATTGATATTACATGATCATTATCCTGAAGATTTATATTAGTGGAATTAGTTAATGATTCAAAATCTTCCTTAATATAATCTGATGAGCAGGTTACAGATGTATTTTTTTCCTGTGTTTAAATACAATATGTATATAATATGTATGTAAATTCATTATTAATTTAAAATTGGAATATTTTACATAAGTACTACCTAAGTCAATTAATTACTCACAATAATATTATACTTGGCCTGCCAATTTATTAAATTTTTTTCAAAAATTATTCTCTGACCGTATTTACTTTTTGGACACAATTCATCCAAATGCTTACTCTTCGTGCATTTTAGGCTCTCGACAGTCATACCAAAATCTTAAAAAATAGTAAGTACAGATAAATAACTTATCTATATTTTCCTAAAAATTAATAGTATAATAATATATTCAACTTACTTGTAAATTCTTGAAAGAAACAATCGCCTTTTAGTTGAATTAATACATTCATAAAATGGTTATTCAATAACAAATCAGTCATTTCTGAATCCGTCGACGCATTTCCATCAAATTCAAATTCAGCACTATTTAATAAATTAGTGAAATTTTCCATGACACGGTACGGTCGGTACGTATAGGTAGCGATTTAATTGTAAAAATAATATTTGTATAAATGATTATAGTTTATACTTTATTTTAAAACACGAGGAACAGGCAAAACATAAAACACCGTCGAACGTCGAAGTCGCAAGGAAAATGATCGGTTGACGGTAATAATAGCAAAAAAAAACCAGTCGCGCCACTGCGGCAGGAGTTCTTATCTGACGGTTGATAAAATCCATATTACTAGCACACAAATTCCATTAAAATTATTATATTATCATTGTTATTAAGGATATTTAACTTGAAATGATTATAGTTTTAGTCAATAAATTAAGCAATCACTCTGTCTTTAATTCAAGTACCTATGTTTGTGATAATATTAAATAAACCAACTATTTGTATTAATTATGATTTCCATTGTATTAATGACCCCAACAAATTAAAATGAAACTATTATTTCATAACTTTGAAATATTAATTATTTCGTTATACATACCAACGAAGTAAGATATTAATTTAAATTTATATACAAAGATTTTTTCATAAATCTAAGTAATTTTGTTTACTTACTTTAACCCGTCACCGGTCGCGCGGGGTAAATAATCTCTAAGTTTATTTATAAGTACGTGTTTTTCCGTAATTATCTGTAATATAGTTTCGTAATTACGATTAGTTTATAAAAATCACATCATAATAACATAATGACATTTACTTCATCGAAAACTATTTTAGTTTGTTCGGTGCATGCGGGTCGAGAACAATTTATTTGTTTGGACAATATTTACCCCGCGCGACTGAAGATTAATTTATTATTTTACATTTTTTTTCAATTTAATTTTCTCTTGATTATTATTATAAAAAACATGGACGAAATTGAGAGACGGCGGATTGAGTGTCTATTAGGAAAGCACAGAAGAAGATGATTTATTAGGAGGCTTTTAAAGTGATGATAATGATAATAATACACCAACATATGAACCTCATGACCAAAATACGGATACAGAACAGTCAATTTCTAGTGCAAGTTCTATCGGAAATATTTCTAATGAATCAGATTCTGAATATTCGTACCATGAATCTGACGATGATTTACCTATATCTATGAGACGCAAATTTTTTATTGGAAAAGACGGAACAAAATGGAATAGAAAACCAAATGTTCGTGTAAGAATCGCGAATTATAATAAAGTTACAGAAAAATCAGGAGTTAAACTTATAGCTAAAAGTGCAAAAACAATTTTGGAGTATTGGATGTTATTTTTTTCAAATGATATGTTAGAGCATATAGTAAAAATGATATAGTAATATATATATTGAAAAAGTTCGACCTAATTACAATAGAGAAAGAGATGCTTCGGAAACATGTGTTCGCGAAATCAAAGCACTTTTGGGCATATTATATACAATTGGTAAGTTAATTTTTTTCAAAAAAATTTAAAAAATTGTTTATCATGTATTATTTTATTTTAGGAGCAATAAAATGTAATCATAGATCCACTGAGGATCTTTGGAAAATAGATGGGTGTGGAGTAGATATTTTAGCATGTGTTATGTTGGAGCATAGATACCGTTTTTTACTTCGTTGTATACGATTTGATGATATCCGAGGAAGGGACATAAGAAAAAAAATTGATAATATGACTCATATTCGACATATATTTGATTTATTTGTAAATAATTGTAAAAATACATATACTGTTTCCGAATACTGCACCACGATTGACGAAAAATTACAATCATTCAGAGGTCATTGTTCTTTTAGAGTATATATGCCAAATAAGCCAGCAAAATATGGACTAAAAATGTTTGCTTTAGTAGATAGTATTAATTATTACACACTCAATATCGAACTTTATGCTGCTAAACAACCAGATGGTCCATTTTTAGTTGATAATGCTGCATCTTGCGTTGTAAAACGATTAGCAAACCCAATTTTGAACACTGGTAGAAATATTACATTTGACAATTGGTTTACTAGTTTTCCATTAGCAGATTATTTACTCCAAAATAAAACAACTATGGTAGGCACAGTTCGAAAAAAATAAAAGAGAAATCCCTCCCGAATTTCTCATTTCAAAAGGTCGTGACTTATATTCGTCATATTTTGGTTTTTAAAAAAATAAATCAATCGTGTCGTATAAAGCTAAATCAAATAAAATAGTTTTGATAGCTTCGACAATGCACAATGATAAGGCTATTGATATGAATACTGGAGAAAAATTAAAGCCAGAAATGATTACGTTTTACAATTCGACCAAAAGTGGTGTAGATACTATGGATTGGATGACTGAAAACTACAGTGTGGCAAGACATAGTGCTCGTTGGCCTCTTACAATATTTTATTCTCTACTCAATATCGGAGGACTAAATTCAATGATTGTGTACCAAGAAAATACGCAAGTAAAGAAAACACGTTTAGAATTTTTGAAATCATTGGGTAGGCAACTTATGGAGGATCAACTAAAGTACAGAATGACAATTAGCAGTCTGCCCAGACCACTAAAAACAAGACTTCAAAATTATGTTACGGTAGTAAAACATTTTTTTTTAATTTATTTATTTATATTATAGGTTGAAAGAGAAGTGCTCCCTCAAAAGTTGAGAAGTTCGAACCGATGTGCTTTTTGTGAAAGAGCGAAAGACAAAAAAACCACTAAAGTGTGCACCAATTGCATAAAGCCTATATGTAGAGATCACTTGATAGAAATTTGCCCAGATTGTTTTACATTATAATAGTATTGTATAACCTTACAGTTTTTATTATTTTTTAATTTTTATTCATAAAACTAAAGACCCGTATGCAATTCAAATTGTATAATTATTTATGTATATTAATTATAAGTATTGTTAGTTATAAAGTACCAACTTAAAGTAATATTTTAAGTATATTTCATATTATGGACAATTTTTACCCCGCGCGACCAAAAATAAAAAAAAATTACGCGACCAGTGACGGGTTAAACAATATTTATTTATCAATTTGATGCAATTCAATTGATTCAATTTTTTTTTTTTTTTCATTAATTTGAAATAATTCTCATGTAATTGATTACAAACTAATGATTTTAATGAAATTCATAATTAATTGAAGCAAACTCGAATATTAAGAAATCAATGTAATAAAAATTTAGATTTTAAGAAATGTTTTTTTCTGAGTGTACTAATTTCTGAGTGTTCGAAAACCGCCTCGTGACATTTTGATAATTAGTTGTACATGGCCAACCCATCACGGCACAACAGTGGCATAGTGTCAGTAAAAATGACTAACTTTAATATTAATTGGTTTCATTGTTGATTTTTAGAATGAAAGTTACAAAAATCACTAAACAAGTGCATAATTACAGTGCGAGTGGTATACAGGTGTATAATGCACCTGTATACCGCCGTCAAGAGGACGGGGTGATAGGTTACCAAAAAAAAAAGAGAAACGTAGTAAGTAGATGTATACAAAATACAAATTCTAGAGTAACTAATACTAAAAGGTGTATCGCCTAATTTGTGTGTCCGGGTGCTTTAGGTGTCGAAAGACCGGGCACGTGGTGATCAATTGTCCGGGTGAGTGTGTGTTATGTTATATTTAGCAGGGGCGGCTCGTCAGGGGAGACTTTGAGACTGCGTCTCCCCTTAAAAATAAACTAGCTACTTGCAAATAATAATGTATATACTCTGTTCAAAAGAAGATCGTGACCCGGTGGCGACCAGTTTTCGTCGGGCGGCGGTCAGACATATGGCCAGATGCCGTCCCCACTACAGCGACGCGTCGGGCGCAGCCACGGAACAAAGCCACGCCCATGCGCACAACTCAGCCGCCGGGTCACGATCTTATTTTGAACAGAGTATAGAAATATTTTCATTTGTATTTAAAATATAGTTTACATTGTTTATTATTATATTAAATTGAAAGTCACAAAATCGAAAACCTATTAATAGCTATCTCGATACTCGATAGAAATACTATTTTAGTCATTTCTGTGGGTCATTACGGCTCATTACGACGGTCGCCGGTTCAGTGAAACTGAAGCCCGTCAGTTGCAAACGTAACATGTAATGGCATGGCTGGTTGGTCGGAGGGAGCCGGGGAGAATAGGCTGCGTATCATAGACGCTTTTGAACCTGGGTTCACGACAGTAATTGCCGTGCCGCTGCGCCGTGTATACCCGTATTTAAGTATTTAACTAGCTTTAGACGTTTTATTCACTGTTTATTAATTATTTAATAATTATTATACGTATATTATCCATCTAACAATCTAACATTTATTATTATATTTTATATTTTTATAAGCATTACAGGATTTTTTCGTATTTTAAAATGCAAAAAGAAAATATAATAGAATTTTTACTAAATTAAGTTAAAAATATTAAATAAATATTAAATGAAATATTAATATTTAATATACTATTTTTTCAATAAAAAGGTTTTTCTTATTCGTTGTTATATGGAATTTATGTTATATAATTTAAGTCTCCCCAGAATATTTACTCACGAGCCGCTACTGATATTTAGACACTCCTACCCGTGGGAAGCCACCACCATCACCGCCGACACCACCGACACAAAGGAAACACAAACAACGGACGAAACCATGGAAAGGGTCACAGAGGCCATTTCCATAGTGACAGTCAACTCTGAAGTAAGTACATTAATATACATTTCTAACAGTTGCTTGTGAAGAAACTAATCATGACAATAACAATTTTATAAATTGTATAAGAGCAGAGAGGTGTAAAGAACGTCGGTTGGACACAGTAAATTTCAGTTGGACAATGTTCATTGAATTTCATGGTTCGTTACATAGGTTTTTTATCTTTTATTTTACGGTTTTCAGATACAGATGAATACATTTTTTTTTTTTCCAAATTTTTGTCTTGTTCTTTTAATATGTAATAGTTTGTTCACTGTATCTGAGGTATAACAGATTATACACAGACACCATAGGCGTGCGCACGGGTAGGGCTGATCGGGCTTTAGCCCCACCTGAGCTTTTTTTATACGTGGGTTGGTACCCCATAAAAGTAGGTATAGCCCTTTAGTTTTTAAACGTTTATGTTTAAAAACTAAGACCTAAGACTATAATAGAAATTAGAAAGTAAAAAGGCGTTACAGCCGTAGAAAATTGATAACAAAATAAATCAAAATAATAGATATCAATTGTATATTCGTATATAATTAATAATAATTCGTAGATATTAAACATGTTTAATTTGTGGTGACTATAGCGCTTATCACCACTTTGCTCAACTCATTCGCCGTTACCATCCGTTTCGCGGAACTTTTATATTATATTCGTATTTATACAACAACTGTGATTTCTAGTATTTATTGTCTTTGTAATTATATTTATGTTCCCCGCTCAACTCGATCTCGCGTCTCCCATTGGCGACGCCAAGCGACTCGTCCCGCGACGGGTACGACGACCGACCGGCCAGCGTTCTTTTTGCTCACAGCCCTCGACCGAGACACACGTTTCGTCCGACCCACGACACACGCCCGACGCCATGTTTCTCTCGCAACGGCAATCGACTCGAGTAGCGATACGATCTCGATGATCATCGCGTACCTCGACTCACCCGACCGACCGAACTCATGTTACGACGACGTTCTCGTCTCTCGACGTAGCGCCACGCTTCCTCGATCGCTCGTGCATCGAGCACACCGATTCCGTCGACCCACGCGACCAACGACCGCTCGACCGTCGAATAAATATGCGTACTGCGTACATACAAATATGTTTTGGTTTTAATATACGACTTTCGACGCAACCGCATCAACCAACGACATTGTGTGTTCATTAATTCATATAACTAAACTTGTGTACCTAATCCTTCCTGCAACGGAGACAGCAGCTAAACGAAGCGCATGTTAGGACAGTGCTGTTGCCCCAACCGACGCAGCGTCAATCACGACGATAGGTCAACGCACTTGTTGCTACATTGGTGACCTCTATTCGAAAACGATACGCAAGTTTACGCGCACGCCGACACAAGCGACGACGACACTTGTACCACATGGGTGACATCTCTACAACCATGGTATGCGAGTTTGCGACGCTCGCCGACACCACGACGGCAGCGCCACAAAAAAGTACGTTCCGCGCGTTTCACGAAACCACGCGCCCCGACGGCCGTCACACACAGCGACACCGCAAAAGCGCGAACACGTGCCGGACACCAACGAACGAGACACCGTTTTTCTCAATTTGTATTCCGTTTCGAATTCTCGTCCTACTACACGCGTCATGGGAAACGAAACGAACGACGAGCACGAGGCACCGGCGCCGAAACCGATTAGCTGGTGGCAGCGACTTAATCCGACCGCCTCCGTACCGACATCGCGGGAATCCGCTGATTTAAACCTACAGGTTCAACGGCTTAGCCAACAAGTCGCGCACCTAACCATCGAGGTCGAGCGCCTCAGAAAATTGGTGGTGCCCACCGCGACGGTGAACACCTTCCTCGTGAATACATCATAGATAAAACTCTTCCAATTCAACAGACGTTTTAACAATATCACAAAAACCATTATTTTTACTGAATTCCTATAAAATCTTGAAACTTTGATCAAGAAAAACTAATAAAAACATGAAACAATTACCTCAGAATCAACTAGTTTTTGTCTGTGTTTTTACTAATTTAATAGAATTTTTATTTACAATAGATTCCATCACATTAGTTGAATTAATGTGTTTGCTTTTATATTGTTTATTATCAGTGCCGCAACTAGGTTTTGTGGGGCCCTGGTGCAAAAAATGTTATGGGGCCCCTATAACATACCCGTATCTGTATTCATAGATAAATCTTTGTTTACACTATTGTAAATTGTTTCTTCTTACTAGATGGCTCCTAGGAATCAGGCATCAGCCTTTATAACTGAAACTGAACCTTTTTTTGTAACACTGTGATTTGAATACTCTATTTACAATTAGTTTATTTACATTATTCAAATGGTCCTCATTTATTAGGTACACTATTGCACCCAGTCAAGTAATTAAAAATTTGAATACAAACATAATTTAATTATAATAATACCTTATATTTTTTTATTTTATTATATTACCATATTATTTAGAAAAAATTTTTTTCTTGCCTTTTGATTAGCAAAATAATTTTATTTACATTAAATCCTTTAGTTCTTGAGCGTTCTATATTTAAAATACTGATAGGTTTTTCATCTTTTTTTGATAAAAGTATTTTTTTTACAAACATGATGTTTATTTAAATGAAAATTTACATTATACATAATTGTTATAATTCAATCCTTCTCTTTCCTGGGATAAGGACTTTAAATTCTTCGATCACATCCTCTATTTTAATTTCAGTAGAAATTTTTTGTTCGATGAATATCAGCATTAATGCATTGAGGCGCTTTTGGGTCATAACTACCTCAATTTTGAAAATGATCTTTTACAAGAGCAACTTGTAACAGGAATGGTAACAAACAATTTTAAGGATTTATAAAAATCTGAAAAAAATTATTAACGTCCAGTATCTACGTTCCCTACTTAGGAATTTTGGGCTCGGGGCTAAGTTTTGGTGAGCATCCTCAAGACCTCAACTTAAATTATAAATTCAGTTTTTTTTTTGCTAAATCGTTTTAGATTTCTGATGAATAGGTATATTGATTTTACAATGATTTGTATTTTTTATTTTTTATTTTTTCTTCCATAAGTAAAATGGGGTCAGTCAACGATGGTCGATGTATCTACAATATAATATTTTATCTATGGTTCTGTC